GGGGAACAACATCAGCAGGAGGCAGGATCCAGTTCAGCGAGCTAAAGGGAGATTAGAAGGAACAGAAGCAAATATTTGACTGCCCCTTGTCCTGCCTTTATAGGCTCCTCCCTTAGGCTTCCAGTACTCGTCCCACCCAAGTCTCCTGCGAGGGGAACCTTATTGTGAGAAAGTCTCCAAGATGAGGGATCAAACTACCGTCTTGCTCTCTCCCTCCAATTAGAGTTCCAAGCATTTCTAACTCTCAGTAGGTGCTCAATAACCAACAATAAAATTTTAGTACAAGATCCATTTACGATAATGAATTTTCCACACTTTTCATGCATGAAGCTCTCAGATTCACTGTCAAAAAACTGAACAGATAAGAAAGGAATTTCTAAATAGTCTCTCTCTCTCTCGAAACTATTTAAAAATGGATAAACTAAAACAACATAAAATTCCAAACACAGAGAAATTATTAAATCAATGGTGGTCTGCCCAAATGATGAAACATTATGAAATATTTTGGAGTCATTTACAATCATATTTTTATGACATAGAGAAATACTCATGACATAACATTAAGCAAAAAAAGGCAATATAAATATATATATGTGTATACTATAAAACCCACTGCCATCAAGTTGACCCTATAGGACAGAGTAAAACTGCCCCCACAGGACTTCTAAGAAGCGGCTGGTGGATTTGAACTGCCGACCTTCTAGTTAGCAGCCTGAGCTGTTAACCACTGTGCCACCAGAGCCCCATGTACACTATATATGTATATGTATATATATGTATATATACATATATACACACACACATATATATGTGTATACTCTATACACACAAATACATATATATGCAGACATACACATACATATGTCTATCTACACACATATATTTATATATGTGTGTAGATAGATAGATAGGTATAATTCCAATTTGTATTTAAAAGTGTTCCCATATAGTTATATTGATGTATGAAATGATCTATCACAGAGAGAAAACATCTAGAAGGAAACACGCCCGAGTGTTAATAGTGATTATTTCTGGATGAGGGGATTGTGGGTAGTTTTCATTTTCTTATTTAAAAATTGCTGTAATCCCCTAGTGTCCAAATCACACATCTGATACATTTATAATTTGGAAACCACAACGGATTACTTGTTAAAAATAAAGATAAATTTCAGTTCCATCTGGAATGAAGGTCCAGGGTCCCAATCGCTATGTCTGATCAATCCGCCTGCTAGATGTTTCCATGGAGATGGTACGCAGCCATCCCAGAAAGGGTTTGAGGAAAATAAAAAGGGTGGCCTGGAATGAAGGTTTCGGGGGTGCTAAATTATGGCTCACAGTTAGGAAGATGGGAGAGAATTCTAGAAACACTGTAAAGATTCTGGGTTCTCTTGCATGTCCCAGGACTCTGGGCAGCACTGGGGCAGGCCTGAAGGAGGAAGCACAACCATTTTGTACCGTCTGAATTTTCAGGTGATCCTTCATCTTATCTTCTGGAAATAGGAAGCTACCTCAGTGCTATGAATAGACTTCACCTTCCAAAGGTCTGTACAGTAATCTCTGAGTTCACAGAGAAACTCACTCCTCCTTCAACAAGGTCTTCTTTCTGACATGGCTGAAACTGTGGCTCATCACCTTGGAATGAACAGCATGGGACTCTCACCTGCAGATGTAGCTCAGGAGGTTGTAGTTGTCTGGGGGGAGGATGGAGAGCTGCTTCATCATCTCCTGCTGAGCCTGGGAAGAGATTTTTGACACCAGTAATGGAGCCTGCGCACTTGCTGGCAGAAACCCTGGAACATGAGCAGATCTGCCCGGAAGCGACACTTGGGCAGTCACTCCTGCTCCTGTAGCTTTTTTTTTTTTTAATTTTCATTTTGAAATAATTATAAATTCATAGGAAGTTGCAAAAATAGTATAAAGAGGCTCAAAGATTTTTGTGTATTTTTTTGTCTGTTATTATGCTCCCTGGAAGCTGTGAGCTAGTCCAAGGCAAGAATGACGTGTCAGCTCTTGCACACAATAACTGTTTGCTGAACGAATGCTTGAGATGTAACACTCCAATAAAAACTGAACCATAATCAAGTATCTCAAAATCACTTTAAAAGTGGTGAGAGAAGGAGGATATTTCTGAAAAGGATTTTGAGTAAAACGGCTTTGCTGAGACCTTCTGGGACTCCAGGAGAGTCTGATCAAGCTGATGGGTGGGTGCGAAGTTGGACTGCTCAGCTCTGTGCTGACCTTGAGCATCAGGGATGATGAGATAAGGAATGCATGTGTCAGGGAGAGGAAGAACCCAGAGGTTTTTTTTTGTTGTTGTTGTTCTTTTCAGCCACAGCTGCCTATAGGGTCCGTAATCACCATCTGTAACACTGCATGCTCACGAGCGTGCACAAACTCACATGAGGCTGGGGCTCTCCTCAAGCCTGAGCAGCTCCTCCTCACAGAACTCGAGGAAATGTGCCCCACAGCCTTGTCAGCCTGTAAGCAATCCCCCGGTGCAGACCCTCTGTATTCAAATTCAGTTAGCAAGGGCATCCAGAGTGCCTGCCTTATTCCCAATACTGAGATTTTCTTCTCCTCGGTTTAGTCAAGTGAATTCTTTGCAAAGGTTGCTATAGACTCGCCCCTCTCATTCACCACCCCCACCACATTTTCACCAGTAAGGAAGGCCTTGGTCCCTCTGCAGTGTCAAATGTGTGTTGCAATTGATGAAGAAATTCTCAAATATGCTGAGATTGAGAAAAGTTGGTAGAAGCAGGTCTAAAGTGGAAGTCATTGTCAGAAAGGTATGGGGCCTCCCCATCCACTGTTGCCTACCAGAGTAGTGTTACAGGAAACCAATTATGTTCTTCCAAAGCAAGACAACTAATGAGATACAAACCTTTGCCTCATCCGCATTCATGAGCTGTCCACAGAGCAGAAACCCCTCATATTGGCTCCAGGGAACCACCGGCTCTGGGAGGTCTCGGAGGTAGAGTTTTAACAGGGAGGCCACTGTGTGTACATCTGTGTCTCTGGAAGACAATAAGCAATGCTCTTTGAATGGGAACTCCAGAACTGTCCTCACCTCCACCCCGGTTATCTATTGAATAGAATCCTGGGTTCCAAAGGGAAGCTTTCCAGAGGAGTAGAGTAGTAAGGCTATATCCCATGACCTGCCTGCCAGTTTGCTGTACTGTGGTGGCTTGTGTGTTGTTATGATGATGGAAGATATGCCACAAGTATTTCAGGTACCAGCAGGATTACCCATGGTGGACAGGTTTCAGCAGAGCTTCCAGACTAACAGACTAGAAGAAAGGCCTAACGATCTACTTACAAAAATTAGTCAGTGGAAAACCCTGTGGATCAAAATTGAGTATTGTCCAGTATAGTTCTGGAAGATGAGTCCCATAGGTTGGAATGCACAACACAATGGCTGCAACAATGGATTCAAGCATGCCAATAATCATGAAGATGGCACAGGACTGGGCAGCATTTTGTTCTGTTGTATAGGGGGCCACCACGAGTCAGAGATGACTGGATGGCAACTAACAATAACAACAACAAAGATGTACGAAGCCATAACATGTTTGCCAATGTCCCCTCCTGCAATAACAACCCCCAACACTCTTTCCTCTATCTCTTCCCCCAGATGCCTGAAAGGTAAGGTCAAGGTCCACTTTTTCATTAAACTTTTTAAAACTATTATAGTCTTCTTTGGTGTCTTCTTTCTTTAAGCTACTTGGTACCTCAAAATTTAGCATTATTTAATTAATCTCTAATTTTTCATGTGTTAATGTCTCCATATCCACGGTTCGTTGACATCTTCACTCCCCTAGAAGGCTCTAAATTGTTCTAGGATTCCTTCCTTCATTTACTCAATCATTCATTTAATCAATAAGCATTGAGTGCCTGCTAGGTGCAAGATGCTGTGCCAGGTGCTGGGATTTCAGTAATGAACCTGAGGGATGCACAGGACCCCTGGTCTCACTGAGCCACAGGGCAGTGTGCGACACAAACATTACCAGATCCTGACAGGTGCTATGATAAGGGAAGCACAAGACCCAGGACCATATGGAAGTACGGAGAAGGGGCACCCAACTCATACTTGGGAAACTGTAGCAGAACCTTAGATGAAACTTGAAGAGTGACAAGGAGTTACCCAAGAACAGAGGTACAGCACGGGCAGACAGCATGTGTATCCGCCTGGAGGGTGGAAAGAGGAGGCCCTGGTGCAGAAACCAAGACAACATTCACGTGATTTCCTGAGTGACTGAAAGAGCCACAGGCTCTTCAGTTCATCTTCTCAGCTTTGCAGCAGCAGTTGGCAAACCATGGCCCACCAGACAAATCAGGCCTGCTGCCTCTACTTGCATGGCCTGAGAGCTAAGACTGGTTCTTACATTTTTAAACAGTTGGGGGGGAAAAAAAAAAAGATGAATATCTCATGATGTGAAAATTACATGAAATCCATGTTTCAGTGTCCATAAATAAAGTTTTATAGAAATACAGCCACGCTCATTCATTCACCTGTGGTCTATGGCTGCTTTCACGCTGTAACAGCAGAGTTGAGTAGTTGCGACAGAGACCATTTGGCCTGCAAAACCTGACATATTTAACATACGGCCCTTAAGTAAAAGTTTGCTGACCTTTGGCTTACAGGGTCATTGCATTTACTCCACAGTGCTACAAGAGAAAATAAGTCTGAATCTACCATATACTTGAAGATCGTTAGTGAAAAAGTGCTTATTCCCTTTATATCAAGACAAAATGGCCTTCTTGGGAGGCAATGCTGGTAGTATTTCAATGTGGTAAGAGGTCTAGACAATGAGTGTCTCCTTGGTTTCAGTGATGGGAAATATAAAATACCAGTACCAGTTTCCATCAAGTCAACTCTGATGAATGGCGACTCCATGTGTGTCAGAGTAAGAACTGTGCTCCATAGGGTTTTCAATGGCTGATTTTTTTGAAGTAGATCGTTAGCCCTGTCTTTAGTGGTGCCTCTGGGTGGATTTGAGCCTCCAACATTTTAGTTAGCAGTTGAGCACTTAACCACTTGCACTATCCAGAGACTCCGAATATAAAATAGGGAGGGTGGAAATGCCTCATGGATGGGAGAGGAGAGAGGTGGATTAGATAGGAGAGGAAGGGAGCCAGTAGAGATAGCAGAAACAAGAGCACTAGGGCTTGGCTGCAAAGCTCTGTCTTTGCGTTTCATGTAAAAATTTTTATTGGTGTTTTAGACAGACAATTGTTGGAGGTGTCTTCAGAAAAGGCTCCCCCTTTGTAGCCCATGAATTCTCTACCACAAAAGGAGAACAGGAGCTGGCACAGAGCCCCTTTCTATGCTCCACCTGGTATTCCCCAGGAAATCTTGGGTGGGAACTGTTCACTTAATGTGGGGTTTCTGCTGAGTCACTGCCTGAAAATATCCCTGGGTGAAGCAAGGCTGGGAAAAGTACCTCTGTGAACATACATGGAAAAATTCCCAAGGAAGTGCAGAAAGACAACCAGCCGATAATTTGCCCAAGTGGTATCTTTTAGGATCACTGCATTTCGGTCCACCCAATTGTCTTAATCTAAACCCAAGATTCCAGTTTGATTTGGGTCTTTCCCTCCATCCCTCCATCCAATTATTCTCCCAAATTCCCTCAATTCTACTACCCAAATGCCACGCGAATCCCTCTAAGTCTTTCCCCACTTTCACTACTCTGTTTCAGAACGCCATCATCTTTTGCCAGGATTACTGCCCCAGTCTCCTATCTGGTCTCCCTGCTTCCAGTGTTCATGTACCAGCCCACTGTCCACTGCCTGGCCCAGCCCTAACACTCAAAACTCACCCACAGAATGAATGCAGAAATAAAGAATTCTAAATGAGAAGAACAGTGTAAGTAATAAATCCAAAACCTCTCTCTTTTGCTGGAATAGGCAAATGCACAGAGACCAAATTTATTAGTGGTTACCAGGGGTATGTGAGAGGGAAAAGTGGGGAGTTATTTCTTAAAGGGCACCGAGTTTCTGTAAAGGGTGATGAAAAAAATTGGAAACAGATAGTGGTGATGGCTGTACAACACGGTGAACGTAATTAATGTCACTGAAATGTACATGTAAAAATGGTTGAAATGGTAAATGTTTTGTTTTATATATTTCACCACAGTAAAAAAATATTCAAAACAAAAAATCTGGACCTTCTGAAGAAAAACAAAAATAAGAGAAAAGGTAAACTACTAGATAGTTTAATCAGGAGAAACCAAGACAGCAGCAATATCCATGTTAGAAAAGAGAAAGGATTATAACCACAAGTATAATATTGATATTTTAAAGTAATAATAAAAGGACACAATTATGTAAATCATCTTGAAACACTGAAATCTGCAGAAGCCTTCCCAATTCATGTCACCTAGCCCAGATAGTGCTGATAAGCACTGACTGCTTAGCCAGGCTCTTTCTTCCTGTTTGTTGAGTCTCAGCTTAAATGTCATTTTCTAGGGGCACTTCCTACACCCACCAGACCATGTCAAAGTTCCTCTGTTGTAAGTTCTCCTTGTATCCTCTATTTTTCATTTTTAGCTTTTAACATGTGAAAATTATATAGTTACTTCTGTGAATTTTTAGTTTAATGTCTGTGCCCCATTGCAATAGGGCTGATTCGGACAGCACTGCTAGGTTCTAAGCTGCCAGCAGGATTTTTCTTGACTGTGCTATTCCTCCAACCCAAGGAAGTATCTTTAAATGAATGAATTAAAAAACAATAATAAACTCAAGAACTAACAGCAAAGCAGGAGCCAGGTGGCTTCTAAGGTCAACACCTGATCCACCAGGGATCACCAAGTTTCTGCTGGCCCTTCCCTTCTAAACTGATGCTTATAATGTGGCATGCCTGTATGTCAATTTTTCACAGAAATATAGGTATCAGGAGTGTATCAGTTTTGTGGCCAGGCAGAATCCAGCCCAGCAGGAGCTTAACACAGAGATTCTGTACTCATATTTATACTGTTTGATGAGAATAGGCACTAGAATCTGGCAAATAATCGATGCTTTGGTTTTCAATTAATTTGGGGCTCTCAGGGTGGAAGCAAGTATATGACCAATGTAGGGAAACTAGATGATTATCCATAAGGCATTATGTCGGGGTCACTAGGAAGGAGCTTCTGACCTCCCAACTCTTCTCTCTTCTATCAACTGATTCCTAAAATTCATTTTAGAGAGAAAAAAAAAAAAATTCATTTTACCTTCAGCCATGGCAAAGATTTACAAAGTCGACAACCTAGGAGAGGTGGACAAAGCTGGCAAATTAATTCTGAAGTGAAAGTGATCACTAATAGATCATTTCCTGAGAGTGAGTCTGGCGTGGAGGTGGGAGAAGGGACCAAGCTTGGGGCTGTGTTAACCTGAATGCAAACAGGGGAAAGGGAGGGGCCCAGCAGTCAGAAGACGTAAGGCCAAGTCTTTAGTGCCCAGGAAAGAGCTGCTCAATCTTGGGCAAGGTGCTTACTCTATCTAAGGCTACTTCATCACTGGAGAAGGGCAATGACCCTGTTTGTTCTCCAGCTTTGTAGTGAAGATCAAATCAGAAAATGTGTGTGAAAGTAATTTTAAAACTCTCTACTCTTGTGGAATATTAGGCATTAAAACCACACCACAAAGGGCACAGAAATAGAAAGTCAGGCAGCAAAGACGAAATAAGCAGATTCTACAACTGGGCCCGGGGCAAAAGTCCAAGAAGCCTTGCCCTGGTAATCTGTGGGTGGAAGAGAAGTTTCCCTTAATCTGAAACATGCTCTTAGAGGAAACCTCTGCTCCTAATATGTACAAATGTAGCTAAGTAACAAGAATTAAACAAAGACCAGTCACACCTCCCCAAATCACACCTGTCCTCTCAAGAGACGTGTAGATCCAAGAGTTGGCCCTGGAAGAATCCTGAAGAAGCCCGGGGACTCTTCCTATTTATGGATGTATAAATTCTATCCCTCAGCTCTAGGGGTGGAAATCTCTCAGCAACATGTGGAGACTTTCCTCCTTCCAGCCCAAAGCA